GCTGCGACAGACGACACGCTGAGTTTACTGAAGTTTACCTTCTCTGGATTTTTTTTTCTGCTCAAAACCCCCAAAAAAAGTTTTGGAGAATGTTACTATGGCAACAGAAACAGAGGATGCGTTAACTCTCTTCATGAAACGGAAAACTCAGAGTGCCGGATCTATCAAAGGTTTGCGTGTATAAAAACGTGAGCTATTTCACTGCGCACGCTAAAAAATGTACAAACTGATCTATCAACAGCGTGCTAAAAGGATTTGGTCTTTAAAACGTGCTAAATAGCGCCTCTTATCCATTTAGTACTTTTTCTGCAATGAATATGCAATATGGGGCGTTTACACGCAAAAGTGCGTCTTGTGGGAGGAGAACATGTAAATATATTAATTTAGCACTCGCAAAGTGATTTATCAAACCTGAAAGCAATTTTGCTAACGGTATCTGACTCTATATTTAACACGTTTCAAAAGAAGGTGCAAATGGTCTGTATGCGTAATTGCGCACACAGTTTTGCACCTGCCACCAGTTACGCAATCACTCTTGTTAAATCACCCACAAACCATGGTTCAGCCCCTCGCGCAAAATTCCAGTTTGCGAGCGCAAATTACTGCACGCAAAATTGGATCTTGATAAATCCGGCCCAGAGTTTCCAATATTTCAGGTTTAGAAAATGTAGAGTTTTCAGTAAACCTGCTTTGTGAAACGGACTCCAGGTCTGGAGAACATTCTTTGTTGTATTTTCATTATTTTTCATTCTGTTTTTGTGTCTTTCGAGGGAAGTTTTTCTGCCCGTTTATGTTGGATCCAGATGAAAGATAGCTTGTGTCCCAGTCAACTAGAAGCTACTGATCAGAGTGGGTTTGTTTTCATTTCTTTAAAGGTTCACCAACATTTAAAATAGCTGCTCATTAGCTCCCTCTCTGGTCAACATAACGTTAGTGTGTGCAGGGTTGATGTTCCAGCTTGACTTTGACCCCAAATATTAAACATAACTAGTGGCATGGTGGTGTTCCCTTTAAAAAATGGAGGCCCCACCTAAAACACTTTACTGCAAGGAAGTCGCTTACTTTAACAAGACTTCGATAAAAAGACGAAAGCTTAGCCTCTACTTCTGAGAAATTGGTTCAGGTTAGGGTCGGAAAATTATTTTTATTTGCATCGCAATTTTAATTTAAAAATTAAGATTTCCAAATAACAGAGGCAGAGACCAAGAGACTAACTTTCTCACTGCAGACCTGTAGGAGGCAGTAATCAGTTAAGGTGACGAGTTGCTGAGGATTAGAACCTAATATTAGAACAGAAAGGAAGAAAGAGTTGCAGCTGGCGACCAGATCAATGCATCCATGCAAATTACAATTTTATAATTTCTGCCAAAATCACACAGCTCTAGTTTATTCGCTGCTATATCCTACATTTTGCAGAAGAATTAATTTTTGGTGACTGAATGCAGTAAATATGATTTGGTGGGCTACTATATTTTAAGTATTAGATGTGAAAACAGCAGACATCAATGATAAGATATCCTACAACAGTCTTTAAAAGTTGGAACTTTTATTGCAGTTGTTTGAAATGAGAAAAATATACCTCTTTAATTGATGCCAGGAATATAATTAGCTATTTTTTTAAAATATTCTGTGCAATGTTGGAAATATTCCGTATGTGTTTTTAAGTTCATAGACAGCAGCAACAGGTGAATATTGGTTGCTTGCAGATTTCGGGATTGGCCCCTTTCTTTTGCTTATCTGAAAGCCACATCAGGAATACAGCGTGCATCACACAGCAAACCAAGCAGCTGTATGTCATCTGCAAATCTACACCCACAGACACAGGAATTCGGTAGAAAGTGAGCGCAGTGAGATGTTGTGGTTTTATGTGTGATTTCTCATTCTGGCTTTCATTTTGAACATTGTGTTGACTGAAAAACAGAATGGTTAAGGTCTCAGCCCTGTACTGTCTGTGTTTTACAATGCAAGTGCACTGTTTTTATTTATTGCAACTTCCTATTTCCTTTTAGGGACATAGGCAACAGGAATATTACAGATGCCTGATACCTGCACTACTATGAGTGTGTGGGTCGATTACTCTCATTCCAAATGACATGGCGTGTCAAAGTAAATGAGTGGGTGACTTTTGTTTTCATTTTTTCCTCATAAACGTTTCTTGATAAGTAAGATGAAAAAAATTCAGGCAGTCGCTAAGAACACTTGTTTCTGCATGATTATTAAATATTTTAAACATTAACTGCCTTTTTTAAAGCTTGAGTGGCTTCTTTAGATGTTTCAGCATTAAAATATTATCGCCCAGATTGTTTTATTATTTGGTATTGCTGTCAGTTCCACTGTGCATACATGAAAAACTTTAAGCAGGCGCATCTCTGGGCAGCCATATTGTTCCTGCTGCGTTTTCATCATATAAACATATTTTCCTCCACTGGGAGGAGGCAACCTGGGCTACATTTCCATGCTGGCCAAGAGGAGCTGGAGGGGTCTGGGGAGAGGGAGGTCTGGGAATCTCTGCTGAAATTGCTGCTCCAGCAACGCGGTTCTGGATAAGTGGAAATCTACAACTAATTCAATTACTGGAGAAATAATATGTGACAATATGCACCTTTTTCCTAATGCCTTATAAAAAACTGTCTTTTGATCTGCAGCATGATAGGCAAGAAAGCCAAATGGAGGTAGCTTAAAAGATAATGTTTGCTTAAAATTGTATGGTGTCACTGGAGGGACATTTTAGAAGCAAAATCATCATAATCTGTATGTCCTGTTATGTTCATCTACATTTATTTGTGAGAAAAATTAAATGACAACATTTTAGGAAGTAGAACACGGACACAAAACTAACTTCTGGAATGTCTTGATTATAAGTTATACAATTATAAAAAGCAAATTTTTTTGTGATCCAGTTTTAAAAGAAAATGTTAAATACAAAAAGAATATGAAAGAGCCAAGAACCTTACTGGGAAGAAGGAACTAGTTATGCCAGAGGCTTAAATTCACTGGAAAAAACGATCTAGAAATAAGTCAAACTTCCTTAAACTAAGTTGAATTACCCTTAATTTGAGTAAATGAGGTAGTTTGCAAATGAAATGAATATTTTTATTCTTAAAATAAGATAATTACATAATATGCACTTGAAATAAGACAATGCAATTGAGTTTTCTTATTTTAAATGTAAATTGTATTGTTCCATTGGCAAAATGTCTCTTTTACCTCCTCAATCCCAGAGGAGGACACTTATTTCAAGAAAAAATGACTTTTCTAGATTTGGATTTTCAGTTGGTTCCTGATTTAGCTGTTTGGGAGCCGCATCTAGAAGCATCAGCTTAAAGACTTCTATGTGTTTTATATCTATACATGTTGTATTTGATCAGACTCCAATGGCCTGCCAAAACCAAGGAGCAGAATCCACCAACCAGCAAAGATAAATACTTTCAGAACGTGGCTTTACCTCTGAAACTAGTAAGTCTAGATAGTTTTAATATTTCTGAAATATTTCATACCAAAAACACTAAAAAAAAAAGAGCTTTATTGGTTCCTACAGGAAGCAGGTCTGCCTCTATCCGTCTTCTTCTGAAGAGATTTATACATTTATTTTATTTGAAAAAAATAGAGGAGTATAGATATTAATGAACATTAAACAATGTGAATATACCAGAATTCCATCTGCAGTTCTGCTGGCAGGTCGATGTCAGACTAATGCAATATTTACAACAGACACTAAATTCAGAAGCCATAAAGTTCATCATAGTTCAAACAAACAAGTCAACGACTTTAAGAGAGAAAGAAAAAAGTGAATTATTTGTACTGAACTGCTCTCACTAATATTGCACCGATTGCTTTAATATTGTGTTTACTGATATGTTGCACTCAATGATAATGATAATAAATGCTGCATGTGACCTCTTTATGCCATTTTCACTCTAGTGCACCCAGATCACTCAGAGATGATTCACCATAACAAACAGACTCCAGCAGGAATTTATGCTCTCTCCCAGTAAAGCAGTATTTTGGATTTATAATTAAATTGTGGTTTATTAGAAACCTCTCCAAAATTAACATGCAAAACCTGGCAAATGATTTCCAACTACATTAAAAAACAAAGTCCTTAACAGACATATTGATAAAAACAGAGAAGATTTGAAAAAACAAAAGTACCCGAATTATAGAGTCTAGCAAGTAGAAATAAGTCACCACTGTGCAGAAAAATAGTTTACCTGAAGAAAGAGTGAGCAGTGCCACAATTTTTCTGTTTAGAGGAGTGAAAAACGGCAAAGTAAAGTCGAGTACGGGAGCTACAGAAAAGCTTAATCGTACTGAACACTTAAAAACAAAAAAACCTTTTTGGACAATGATACCAACCAAAGCGGCAGGAGCCGCATGATTCAGGATTAAGTCTTTAACCTAAACCAATCGGATCCTAACTGACTCAAAGCTTTCAGTTTAAGAAGGGGAACATTTTTAAATAAAAGAAACAGTTTTAAGATTATATAGTTTAAAAAGTCTCATATATTTTCACTCCTCTTGTCTGTAGTTGGATTTTCAGGCCAAAAGAGCAGAATGAATTCATCATTAAGCATAGAGTGCATCAGTGGTAATGGTAATTAATGGTGTGTTTGAGTTTAGATTGTTTTCTAAGATTAAATTGGACCATTTACCAGAATTTAAATGAAGTTGAGTGGAGGTCACACATTAAAAGTTGTTTCCACGAACATCAGAGATCCCTACTGGTATAACACTGAAAATAACACTGAAAAACCTGATTTCTCGAAATAAAATATTTAAATCCATTTTAGTTGTTCTTTTTTTTTCTTTAAAAACTAAAATATGATGTGTGCATAAAAAAATTACATTATTTAGGATGGAGACAGATGCTCCAACCAATCTTTAAAATGAAAAGTCTTCATGTTAACAGATTCATTAACCTTCAGTAAAACTCTTTTAAATAGTTTGATTTGTTTCTCCCAGAGAACTTTTTAAAATCAAGCATGAAGGTTTGGTCTTACCTTAACAGAAGCTCCCGCCGGCACAACCTTCCGCTCACCACGGTCTCTTTTCTACTCTGTAAAAATGCATGGTGCATTATTCCACAGGAAATCTATTCTCACCTTCACAAGAATCCACAGTAAATGCAAAATAAAGAAAACCTAACAATCTGCTCTGAAAACATCAAAAAATTTTAAAAGCAAATTTGAATATTGCAACTTCAATGTTTATGATGTAGTGAGAAAACATGAACCCAGAATGGATAGAAGAAAGAGACAAACCTCAGTGCAGTCTGAGGAGGAAAAGGCAGCCGCCACTCCTGCCCCCAGTTTTTATACCTACGGCTGCAGTCAAACACAGGATCCAAGGGTGTTGTGTTCATCTGTACGTTTACTCCATAAATACAGAAAGATAATTCATCCTTTTTTTGGTTTGTTTGATTTCTTTGACTTTCATCAATAATGAATAATAGTGTCTGTATTTATTTAATGAAGAGGATGACTTTTGGGATTTTGAACAACTTCAATTCTATCATCAGTATTAATGTTAGAAATGCTGATTAGTTATAGATAGTAGTTATTTCTCTCAAAAGTAACTGAGTTAGTTTTTGTAATTGGCTAGTTTTTATTGTCTAAACCAGAGGTCTTCAACAGGGGGTCCGTGACCCCCAAGGGGGCCAACCAAGGAACGCAAGGGGGGGTCGCAAATGTTTTGGTTGATTAGACTTTTTTTCTATATTCCCCTCTGCAATTATTTCCACTAATTGAAATGTCTTTAAATCCACATTAACATGAATTCAACACACTGTAGTAAACAGATAAATGGAGGCAGAAGATGTCTTTCAGTCATCAATGGAACACATTCATCAACAAACAGCTCTTTCAAGCTGGGCACCGTTTTATTTACAACACCTATCCCATCAACCAGGAATCAGAACCAAAAATACTTTAATAATACCAGGGTGAAATTACTTTGGTTACATTACTCTATATGAAATAGAGTGACTATAGGGCCAGTTTGATATAACACAATTGTAACTAAGGGGTCCCTGCTCCATCTCGCCATCAGTTTGGGGGTCCTTCACCTGGAAAACGTTGAAGACCCCTGGTCTAAACTGTGTTTACATTTGAAAAAAAAGTGCTGTCTTTTTTAACTTAAAGGTATTGTGGAGGATTTTTGCAAATTTTTTAAAAGACCCGACCTCTCCATTTAAAAAGAAAAAATGCACGTGCAAGAGCGTGCACAATCCCATTTGTCCTCTTGAACGCTCTGTTTAACAGTTGCTGTTCTCATAGCTAATCCAAGCTTACTGTGTCCGACCGTCCGCCCTAACCTCTGAATCCCTCCATCACTATAGAGCAGGAACTATATAGTGAACTTAGTTAACTGACCGTTCAGACAGATGATCACTGCTTTTTGCTCCGTTGGTCACGTAACTCCTCCTCCACCGCGCGGTGCCTGCACCATCGTTGTTATTAGTCACTGCTGTCGGGTAGCAACAGTCTATGGCGACAGCGGGTCGCTGTGACAGCAAATCCCATGAAGCATTCTGGGATATATCTGCATCTTCTTAGGCCTTTCTTTTCTTCTCATACACTTCGTAGACGCTTTTTCCCTTCCGACCTTCGGCCATTTTCAAAGAACCGCAGAGAGAACGGCGAGCTTCAATGAAACCGTAGCTCAAGCCTCAAAGTGCACAGAAAAAGATCGCTAACGGGAGCAGAACGTACGACGGCCTTAAGTAAACATATCAACAGAATGATTGACAGTTAGGAGGACCACTGATTGAGATGATCCACTCGGAAATAAAAGATCCTCCTCTATACTTTTATATTATAATTTTAAGTTCAAATATAATGTAATGTAATATTGCTCAATTGAGTCTCAGCAAATCTGTGCTGTTAGAACACTTATCATTTGCAATATATTCACCTAGATATGATTATTGTTATTTACGCAATAAACTAAAGTAGATATTTAAGGCCACAATCAATTTATTTATCCAGCAAAAAAGTACCCAGAAAGAACCAACGCATACTCAGGGAGAACATGCACACTCCAAGCAGAAAAACCCCAGGCAGGGAATCGAACCCAGAACCTTCCTGCTGCAAGGCAGCCATGTTCTATTTGTAAACATGCATCTCTAGTTGATTCATGTATTTTTGTTCACTTAATTTTTCTTGTTACTGGTCTCTCTCTCCATCATCTCCTGGAGTTTGCCGTCACAAAGCTGGCAGCCAGAGCTCAGAAGGTTCAGAGCAACAAAGACCAAATCCACACAGAGACAAGATTATTTTGTCCTTTAAAGTCTAAGCTTGCATTTTTGAAGAACATAAATAATAATTAATATACATCATTTTTTAAAACTGGGCCCATGTGGATAGGCCGAAGCAGCTGGTGCTTTTCAAGTCAAGAGACTCTAAAATGATTTAAATTACATTCAGCCATTTACCTATTTACACAGGTGTTAGCAAGCTATATTGTAACCTTCACTGCCCCAGGGTACACTGACAGAACCAAGGCTGCTTTACTTAAGGCACCAAAAGGCCCCGTAACCACTGCCAGTAGGCAATGCGGAAAAAGTGTCTTGCCAAAGGGCCACAGAACTGAGACATACAGACAGAGCTTGGGTTTGAACCTGTGGCCCTCCAGTTGCAGGAACATCTTTAAACTATGCAATTGTCCCCCAGTTATCTTACTGTCTTTAAACAAAAGAATTACACAATTCGTTTGCAATACCTTTGGTCCAACTATCCTATAGGACAGAAAAAGAGTCTAAAGTAATGCTGCATAACTATTTACCCAGTATTAACTTGACTCGAGAATTACACTTATTGACTGCAAGGACTGGCGACCTGTCCAGGATGTAACCCGCCTTTAAAGTTACAAATGAAACACCATAATTTAACTTTTTTTTTTTTTTTACAGTGCCCTGTCTGGCGATGTGGCAATAAGAATAATTGTCTGTATTAAAAAGAAATAATAAAAACAACAGTCCCAACAGATTTTACTTTCACAGGTGGAGCAGTACAGCTATCGCCATAGTGTTACACTTGATTTATGCATATAAATAGCTTTATTATAATTAATGCAGGGAGTATTACAGATTATATCGACACTGCAATGTAATTGGAACAGGAAAGGAAAAACAGAAAAAAGGGGAAAAGATGAAAGAAAGGGGAAATACTGTCATTATTTTATCAAGGGCTCGGACCCACATGCAGAGAAACCAAAACAGAGAGACCCGGGAAAAAGTTTAACAGGTTAATTGAGAAGCTTGTGGAGATTCCAGTGTTGCTCTGAACACTGCTCAACCAGAACTGAAAGGTGAGGGGAAGACACTGCGGTTAGTTCAGGTTCAGTGGGAAAATTGATTCTCAAACTTGAAGAGGAGGAAAGGTTTGCAGACTGAAGTTTCCAGAAAAGTGGTTGATTCTTAGACTCCAGTCAGTGTGGGGTGTTCCAGTGTTTGTCTACTTCGGTGGAGGACGGACAGGGTTTACCCAGAATGCGGTTGTTTGTAGGAGAACGGAGAAACTGACTGCCACTCAGATTTCCTGTGGTACTTGAACGGACTGTGGTGCAGATGAATCCCTTGCTCAGTGTGAAACTCAAACGATCCCTTGGAGGAAAGTGGATCCAAACCTCCAGTTTGAATCCCCAGCTCAGTTTGAGGCTCAGTTGATCCTCCCAGGGAGAGAAGGTCCAAAACGTCCAGTTTGCAGGATGACTTCCTGCCGAGAGGCAAAGACAAAAATAGCAAGATTAAAACTCAGGTTGACAAAAACTCAGTTTGACTCAGCAAAATTCAGCTTGGCTAGAGTACCCTAAACTGGCAACACTCTGGCGTCGAGGTAGTGGCAGTCAGCAGCTTAAGAGCACTCCGTTAATGAGGTAACCCTTAGCAGATGTGTGAGGAGGTGAATCAGGACCAGGCCCCGTCTGGTGGAGGAAGGAAGACAAACACACAAAACACAAACCAAACAGACAGGACTCCTAACAGATAAAAGGGAGATAACGATAAAACATCTTCAGTCAGCTTCATCACCTGCAAAGAGATGTAAAAATAACGGCACAACCGACGGATATAATATAAGAGATACATAAAGTAACACCTAGATACGATCGCTGAATTATAAGTGATATTATTTAATCTGACATGTATACTGTAGTACCTGAAGGTAAGAATATGGACTTTCTGTATGGAAGTGAACCTCTAAGTACCTGAAACCAAGCAGCTGTAGTTGTTTGTGAGTGCTCAATAGTGGTTGTGAAGAGCCGAAGACGCACCCCTCCAGAGCACCGAAACCAGCGCCAGGAGATCAAAAGCCCCAGACGCCCAAAGCGACCCCAAGAGCAAAGATTCCCAGGAGGGGCCAACCCAGGAAATCTGCCCCCCTATCAAGGGAGAAGGAGAGATGGCCCCTATGAAATCCCACAGCCACCGCTATGCCAGAGCCCCAGGAGCCGCAGGGACGAGCCCACGGGCTCCACCAGCAGCCAGCCACACAGAAGTGGATCCGGGCCATGGCGGGAGCCCCAACCTGGATGTATAAGCCAGTACCCGCCCGGGCCTCCACCCACTTAAACAGTATCCTGGTGAAAGGCGGGGCACATCCTGGAAAGATGGCTACTCTGTTAAAGGGTAACACAGGGACACACAGCACAAATGACCCTGTATATAGAAACTAACCTCTAAGACACTGTATAACATAAGTCGTGACATTATTTAGAACATTGGGGATAAAAAATGCTTGCTCTCTTCTCCAAACTACTGCACAACCCCCTTTCCAAGATTCCAAGAGTTTAAAGACACAGACATCCTAAAGTCCTTAAGATGCTCTGGCATCTGCTCACTGGCACAGATGCCTGGGGGATTCCAGAAAGAGACAGCATTGGGGGGGAGGGGACTGCTGCATCGATTTACTTGCAGGCCAGGGCATTGTCATTCTTCAAGGTTAACTCGCCCTGCTGGCTATCCAAGAAAAAGATTTCTACAAAACAGACAGTCTGTAATATTCTCTCCGAGTTTGAACTCAGAATTTCTCAATTTGGATTTAGAACCAGAAGAACCAGAAATGTCAAAGACAGATTTGGACAACTTTGATTGTCATTTTTTACACAGAGTTGATACAAAATGAAATTTAGTTTTCTA